CGCCCGCGTGGAATTTTGTCTGTCACAGAAAAACTTTATCGCGCGCGTCCCTGTTTCAAAAACCGGGATAAAAACTATCCTATGTTCTTTCCCGGGACTCAAACTATCTCTATGCCAAATTTCATCAAAATCGGTTGCGAGGTTTAAGCGGGAAAGCGTAACAGACAGACAGACATACAGAGTTACTTTCGCATTTATAATATTAGTTGGGATATTATGATGTTAGCACCCCATTCAAGTCTTAGCTGCTAATGTTCTAAGAAGTTTTTTTATTTTAAACTTGTCCTAATTTGTAGGATGATGAATGATAATTAATAGTGAGCAAATGTACCGAGGTTGCTTCAAACTGAGAACTGTAAATAGAACGCGAAAGCTTAAAAGCTAAGGCTGGGTTGCACCATCTTTCTTTAACTTTAACAAACGTCAGAAACTGCCAAATTCTATACAAAAAAACATCGGTTATCGTTATATTACTGTTAAAGTCAGTTTGTGCTACTCGGCCAAAGATCCACTGATTCCTGAAAAAGTCTCCGATAGTCCTAGCAATTTATCTATATAATTCAAAGGTGACTGACTGACTGACTGACTGACCCTTAAGGGGGTAAAACGGGACCCACGCCTACGAAGTGGCGGGCGGCCGCTAGTCTGTTAGATAAACTTGGCCTGCATCTCACCTAATAGAAAATGATGACCAGGCCGAAGGTGGAAGAGAAGTTATCCGGAATCCTCAACCGCAAAATGACATAGAATAAAGTGGCTTATTCCCTTTATCTTAAATACACTTTTTCTACATCTGCATTTCCACAAAGTAAACAATATATCAAGATTTGTTGAGACTATAGGTCTAGCGGTTAACTCAGTCTGTGCTTAAGGTATCGGATAGGTAAGCACGGGAGAGAGTTTTTAAGACATCGAACGTCAGCAAGACTTCAAATACACTCAACATCAAATAAACCGCACCTTCCGCGACGCGAACTTTAAAGATTTTCTTCTGACACAATCATGGTACCCCAACAATATTGGTGTTATTTGAAAGCCCAATAAATATCCTTAAAGAAAAACGCATTTCATTTCTAAATAAATGATTTACATATACCATAAATGTGACTTGAAAAGAGACCTCACTTTGGGCTCACCTCTGGGATCAGTTAGACCAATTTTTATGGTTATAAAACCAAATAATGATCACACGTGTCCTCTTTAACAGATGGATAGCGATTAATCCCATCTTAACAGTTTTATAGCCATAAAAGTTGGCTCAAGCGTAACTACCTATTTTTTGAAGAAGTGACTCTGGATCCTTCTAAACACACATTTTTGGGGTAAAAACCTTTCCTTTAATGAAATGAAGTTTAGAACTAGGCTTTTAAATGGTGCCAATGTTGGTGGGAAGTGGGGATGCATACGTTTGAAAGTGCTTGTCGCGGGAGGTGCGATTTATTTGATGTCGAGTGTATTATGCTTCAGATTTCATACTCTGACATGTCATAAATGTCAATGCTGAGCCAAGCGCTAGACCTGTAAATATTAATTATTCCTTTCATTCTCAATGATGGCGGTGCATTAGCAAATGTGTGTACAATGTACATTCCCGCTTGTTTTCAAACACATCTGCTAATGAGTTACTATTGCCTCAGTTATTGATGTAATTAACCATCGGATTCCGGTTAAGTCAATTACTACTAAGAGCTAAAATATGTACCAAATTTGAGTGAATTTCAGTGATTGTGCGTAAGTTACAATCTGTATCGTTGAAGACAGTAGGTACTTAGTTTATAGTCAATGTGTGTGTACTGTGTAGGTATAAAATATTTACCTAACATTCTTATTAGATAGTAGCTTTTGCCCACGGCTTCACCCCCGTGAAATTTAGTTTGTCACAAATCGTCATAAATTATAGCCTATATGTTATTCTGGGTTATAAAGAATTAATACTGTAAAGTTTCATCAAAATCCGTTCAGTAGTTTTTGCGTGAAAGAGAAACTAACATCCATTCAGACATCCAGACATCCAAACTTTCGCATTTATAATATTAGTAGGCAGTACCTAGAGCGAAAACCAGAATTACTAAAATCAAGTGGCAGTGGACAGGGCACATACAATAGCTCGTAAAGCTGATGGCCGCTAGGGCAGAAAAGTTCTCGAGTGGCGCCCATGGGCCGGAAGACTTAGTGTAGGCAGGTCCAGTGTTGAAGGTCGCGGGAAGCACTTTTTTATTTCAAAACAAATATAAATATCCGGTTTATTAATGAACCTGTAGATGTTCGTTGGTTTGTGAGTTTCAATACCTAATCTATCTTAGAGAAGTTATCTTTGAATGATTAGTTTAATAGTTAAATACCTATTAAACAAATAGTTCGACCGGATTTGAGAAATTTCAAGATTATCTTGAAGCAACAGAGTAGCAACTTCGCAGCTCAGGTTTATCTAGAGTTGCATCTATTTAACGGAGTCTTAACATTTGAAGTGTTAGTATAGCATACTTTGTATGTTCTAAGCTGTTAGAAATCTTTAGCGTTGATTGATCAATGCTAGTGTTTAATTCTTAAGTCCGTATTAGAAAAACATTAGATTCAGTCCCAAGATTGGTCTGAATCAGGGATGCACAGATTTACTGGGACCAGGGGCCACT